TATAAATGCTTCCAAAATATCTATATCTATATAAATATATTGTTTTTATTTAACCATTATTGATTTCGTATGAACGACAATCTGTTTCGATTTAAATATACATATTTTAGGTTTCATTTTTATTTAATTTCTAAAAAGTTAACAAACAAACGCTAAGCAACTAGGCAGAAAAACAAAGGAATAATAAAACAATTACTAAAAATGCATTTAATAAATTATAATGAGAAATACACAGAGATATTCTCTGCATCAATTTACAACTTCAAACTGGACACTTGTAGTTTGCACTGAATATTAACAAATTAAATGTTTAATAAAAGCATTTCAATTCAATCCACCACCACCGAACCGCAAATACGCTTCGATTTTAGAAGTGTTCCCCCCCATTCAAATAGTTGGCTCAAATATGTAGTTGCCATTCAATTCAAGGACAAAAACGAAAACGAAATAATTGTATCGTGTTCATTAAAGTTTAAGCATTTGCAAATTTATTGTAATGTATTGAAATTCAAATTAAAATCAAATCAAAAGTACTCGACTTGCATTTTCGATTTCATTCTGATAAGTACGGTTTGTATCGATAACTTTTCAAACTATTTTCGATTTTTACATCGAGCTGCTTGTTTTTGGTACTTTCTTATTCGCGAAAGACGGCCACACTATATTACTAACTCGCGTCGGCTTTCGCTGTTTTTTGTGGATTAAACTAAAAAAAGAAAAAGAAAAAAATTGCAATAGCATTTATATTTTTGTTGCAATTAATTAACTGCCTGCCCTGCCGAGATGGTTAAATTAACGCCGGAGTTGATAAACCAGTCCATGCAATACATAAATCCATGCCGTGAACGCGAGCTCGATTTGCGCGGCTACAAGATTCCACAGATTGAGAACTTGGGTGCCACATTGGATCAGTTCGATACGATTGATCTCTCGGACAACGATCTGCGCAAGCTGGACAACCTGCCACATCTGCCACGACTCAAGTGTTTGTTACTAAACAATAATCGCATCTTACGAATCAGTGAGGGCCTGGAGGAGGTTATCCCAAATCTAAGCTCTATTATACTGACGGGCAACAATTTGCAGGAGCTGAGCGACTTGGAACCGCTTACAGGATTCAAGAAGCTGGAGACCATATGTCTGCTTATCAATCCGGTATCCACGAAACCAAACTACCGCGAGTATATGGCTTATAAGTTTCCACAGTTGCGTCTGCTGGACTTTAGGAAGATTAAACAGAAAGATAGGCAACAGGCACAGGAGTTCTTCCGCACCAAGCAGGGCAAAGATATGCTCAAAGAGGTGTCCAAAAAATCGAAATTAAGCGCCGCCGCTGCACTGGCAGCCGAGGCAAGCAACGGCAAGGCAGCAGCTGAAGGCGGACGCTTTGCCAATCCTGAAGATATGCAACGCATACGAGAAGCCATCAAGCGAGCAAGCTCCCTGGCGGAGGTAGAGAGACTGTCACAGATCCTGCAGAGCGGCCAGCTACCAGACAAATTTCAGCACGAATTGGAACAGAATGGGCACAACGGAACTTCAGCTGTGCCGACTGTAGATATGGATTACTGAATTTATATCTAGATCTAGCTCTGTCGTCAGCTACCTTGTTAGTGTAGAATAATATATATTTTAATAAAAGTAGAGTCAGCGTACAGTCAAATCTAAATAGATATCTTCTATGTTTATTATTATTCATCGATCTCAACAGGTTGCTGACTTTGTGTATTTTTCACAGAAAAAATCTCAAATTCGCAATACAACCAGCGATTATTTGTAAATATTTAAATGAAATGCACACATAATTTACGTAATTCGCTAAAAAGGTTTCAACAATTTACAAACGGACAAAATAAGTATATTTAAGTTGGGCAATTAGTAAATATGCTTTGGCCTTGCAAAATGCATTTGCGGGAATAGCATTTGGACTCTGGAATTGATTATTGTTATTGCTTGTATTGCAGTGCGGTCTTTCTCCTCTCTTCCTTTTCCTCTCCCATTGATGCCTGCCTCTGGTTTTCGTTGATATGATTAGTATTATGAGTTCTTCGTGGCCATTATTGTGTCGTAGTGCAGTCCTGTGTAGAAGATGATCCACGTCACTAAAAAGCCGGCAAACGATGTCATAAAGCCCTCTTTCACTAGTTCCCACACACCGCCATAAGCATCCTCATCCACGTTCTGGAAGTTTATGGCATACAGGTAAACAACGCCACAGCTAATGCCGGCAAAACTGCAATAGATTATATTTTGTTTAGCTACAGCACGTTCTATATTTAGGCGCTGGCTACACTTACAGTACGAGGCCCAGAAAGCCTTTTAACGGCACTATGCCCCAGATGATGCCGAGTATGATGCCAAACACCTGACGTGACCAATAGATAACATCTAGAAATTCATCCTGTAAATGTCAGAAAATTATAAGGGTACACAAAAAAAAAAAAAAAAAAAAAAAAAAAAAAAAAAAAAAAAACACGCGCTGCTCTTTGGATATCTCACCTTGTCTTCCCATTCGGATTTTGTCATTGCTCGCGCGCAAATTTCACGAAGCGACGAGGATTTGGTGGTGCCATTGGCATTGCGTTCAATAGTATTCGTTCTAGTTGCCATTTTTTATGTGACCTACTTTTTTAACTAATGCTTTCCACTCACTTAAAATTAATTAAAAATTTTCACTATCAGTATGGCTATGCCGATATCATTTACAAGTTGTATTACCGATAAATTTGCCTAATCATTAATAGAACAGCTGTGGAGTTCGCTCACGCTCGCTCCAATGAACTAAAATGACTCGCCCATTTTGTTCACATGAATCTTATTCCATGCAACTCTGATGTGGTTATGTGAGCGTGTTTACACTTTGCTAAATACAAAAATGCTAAAGTTACGTACGCTCTGCCTTACAAATCCCGCTTTAATCACTGGTAAGTAGTCCATAGTATATATTAATATACAATTTTATTTTAAAAAAACTTACTTTCATCGCATAACAGCACAGCGGCATGTGGCCCTTAGTGCCGTACGCTGCGTCGATCAAGGCTGGCGAGCGGCAAAGGGATTGCCCGAGAATCCAAATGCATTTGGTCCACTCACGAATTTGCCGGATTACACATACCTGGACGGCAGACCAACCCCACTGGGCGTAAGTATCTATGAAATGATTATAAATTATAGTCTAACTCTTATTGTTTTTCAGTCCAATCAGCATAAGCGGCTACTGAAGCAACAGGAGATTGCTGCCAAAATTGTGGAACTCAGCAGCGAATTAGACTTTGCGAAGGAACGCCACGAACGTCTTAAGAAGCAGGCCCAGGCTGAAAAGCAACGCATTATACAGAATAAGCTTAAACCCAAAGGACATCTATTGTTAAAGAAGAAATAATTCTGTTAACTTACCGTTAACCTTAAATGTAAATTAACTTTAATGTTATAATATTTCTATTACATAGACATGATTGTTGATCGGCTAATGCTTCACTCAAAACGTGTTTATTGTTTTTATTGATTTTCTATTAAATTTCAAGTTCATTACGTGGTGGAAGACGTAAACACCGCTTAAATGAATGGTAATTAAATTTGAAACTCAAAAAGTTCTCATGACGCGCTTTATCTGGGCAACAACCTGTCCTGTCAATTAGATTGTCTATCTCTCAACGCATGTGATATCTAGAGTTCTCACTTTAAAAGAGAGTAACTCATATGTCACGTATACTTTCTTTATATAATTTTAAATGTAAATACGGAAGTATACATATACACATCTCTATCGATAGTAAAACGTTCACCGTCCTGCTCAATACGCAGCACTTGATTAGCATTCAAAGATAGTGCTGGCTGATCATAAGAATCACGTCTTGAAATGTTTATATGCATTATAAATTACCAGCTTAGCATTTGCAAAGCTTTCAAAGTCGATACCGATTCCGACTTTCAGCTCACATTGTAATTATCAATTAGACGTGAAATATTTAAAATAAAAATTCAGAACAGCTGAACAGGTGTACGAATCACAGGTCAGAACCTTTGGTAGCCAGCAAATATTGGCCTCTTAAATAGCTAGCATATAAGAAAGAGCTAGACATTATATTTTTCACATTATATTTGCAAATTAATTAGAACTTTAATGTGATATAATTAAATATTGATATATTTAGTTATTTATTTACGATCAGAGACGCTGCCCAGCAGTCCAGCAATGCATGAAGGAAATTTCCCACCAATTTAGTACAGATAAACAGCAATAAGTAAGGCGGCAGATGTATAAAAATCTTCAGCATTCGAATTTATTGCAATTAATTAGCTGAAAGATACGAAAAGTATCACAACAAGCTAAAGAATGAGAGAAGCAGACAAAATAATAATATTCCTACTCTCACTTGGAGTAGGTGCTATATTTTGCAATGCAGATCTTGGGTCGTTGGTTAGTAGAAACGTGCTTTGAAAACGTGCTATAATAATGTCGTTGACCAAAGCCACAAATTAGTAAAATAACTCTTTAGTTTGAGCCACTCACTTACCCCAGTTGTAAGCCAGGGCGTATACGTGATAAATATTGAAATGTTTCTCTGCTAGATGCACTCGGCGCATGCTTAATATTTGTTAAAAATATGTACGACTGCTACTATTGTATTTATCTACGAGCTTACATTGGTTATTTTTATTTGAATTGTACAATTTCACACTCAATATGGAGCAGCCAAAATATTTACAATTGCGTCGTTTATTTATGAGAAGAATTGTTGAAAACACATTCGCTGTTGATTGACTGATTGTTGTTGTTGTTTACAAGTATCGCTTATATTATTTACTTTTATGCCAGCGACATTTTAATATAATTAGCACAAATATATTTATATTAAATGAAATCAATTTACAAATCAGAAAATTTTTGCTGTAATAAAAGAAACCGGAATAAATTTTTATTAAATAAGACTGCAAAAGAGGGGTAAAGATTTTATGAGACTTTAAGGTAACTTTGAGTACTTACCTATAATTAAAACAAAATCAAAAAAAAGTTTTTAAGTTAAGAGAACGGATAATAGTTATTTGCGAGCTCAGGTTAAAATGCGTTGTTCTGCCGCACTTCTCTAATCATCGAACTGTAGTCAGTCAAGATAATAATAATCCATTTTTTTTTTTTTTTTTTTTTTTTTTCTTTTAAATTCTAAAAAAAAAGAAATAATAATTCTGACTGCATTTCTTCCATAAGTCTTTTGACTACATGCTAATCAATGGCTATTTTTAAATAGTGAATTTCTGTACCATCCTATTTGTATCCATATATGTACCTATATGTAACCGCAAAAAAAATAAAAATAATATTCCACAAATTAAGATGATTTAAATTGTCTAGCAGCGACAATTTTCATGCTCATGGGAATTATACAAATTCCAAACACAAGCTAAACTTAATTAAAGAATAAACAATTGATTTCAAGTTGTCAAATCTTTCCGCATTGTTAAAAGTTTTCCAAATGAAACTAGAATCGCGCACGCGGCAAATCGAGTAAATCAATTAGAGCCTGAACCACAGTGTGAATCATGAGAAGATATCGCGACGCATACGAATCGAACCGGCTGCTTAAATCAAAGAGATCGCAGAGTGACAGAAAATTGCGTCATAGCATAGCGGGCAAGTGAAAATATAATTAAAAGCCATAACAATAACAACATATTTATATTTTCACATTTGGGTGCGAAGAGGCGCACTGAGTATTTTTGTATATAAGTGTGTGATTCTTTGGAGTTAAGCATACAGAACCCAAACAGCAAACGTTCCAAGCATATCTAGCATCTCAAGGATAAGCACTGAAAGGATAATGGAGTTGAACGTAAGCATACCTTTACCATATTCTTTATGTATAATATATTAACATATATAATATCGTTCATTCACAGCATATTTATACCTGGTTAGGCCTGCTGCTCAGCCTCATGATCTGCAAATTAACGCAGTGCCATGCCAAGCCCATATATTACGATGTGGACAGCTATGAAAGTGGGTATGGACGCAGCTACGATCCCAAGAGCTACGATAACTCATATGCATACACCTATGGCAAGCCCCTTACATCGGATCATATTGATAAGCTAAACACCGGCTACTACTACGTGGACAATGGCTATATAGCGCCAGTGTCCAGCTCGTTTGCCTCCAGTCAACGCAGTCTCTATCCATATAGTAGCGGCGAGCTTTCGGATAGCTACAAGTTCTCTCCGATCCTGCGCTATAGAAAATCGCGCACAAGGCGCAAGAAGCTCTTCGTGCCTAACTTCTTTGGCTAAGCTGATAAAGATGTCCTGGCCAAGAGAGACCACAGACTGATGCTGCATATTGTTAATTAATATTATTGCAATGTTATCAAGTACCTTATCAAAATTAGAGTAAGAATAAAGGGTTTTAAAAAATATAATTCAAAGTATTTCTTAAACAAATTTTAGATTTATAATTCAATTAAAATAGTTTTACTTTATAAACAAATAACTTAGAACACAAACTCGCATACTTCCGTATACATTGTAGCTATAATCTCCTACACTGTAAACGCATATACAAATATTTTGATTAGATTTTGGGTTCAATTATGTAAACTAGCATAATCATAGTATTATTTAATCAAATTGTTAGTGGCGTTTGGCGGCTTAGTGTTAATCAGCAAACAACTAGCATCAACTTTTTTTTTTTAGATAAATACAATATATGATTTATAACAATTATACAATGTTTAATATTTTTTTTCTTATAGAAATATAATTTCAATTAAAATTTCTAAAACTATATTTATATATACTTCATTTAAATATTTGCATTTAAAATATTTTAAAATTTTTAATTTTATTTTCTGTTCAAATTACAAATCTCATTTCTGTTAAACTGAGGAGCAAATATGTTATATGTTAACATAGATATGTTAAAATCAAGAACAGCAACCAGTAGATGCAACAAAAAAATACTAAACCATATTGAGACAGCTGTTAGCTGTGCTGTCGTCATTTGCAGAGGAAGAAGAGGAAGAGAAATTCGCGTCTGAAAAAGTGTAAATTGGCTTTCCAAAAGCAAGATGAGTTTCATGCAACCAAGTCCCGTGAAATACGCCTGCTCATGTGGTATTCTGAATCCGATTAATAAACTCTTCTTCTGTCGCCATTGTCCGAAGTTGAGATGTGGCTTCTGCGTCTGCCATGAGATTGAGTCACACTTCTGCTCGAACTGCCTGGAGAACATTCCATCGTCGGAGGCCAGGCACAAGAAGAACTGCTGTGCCAACTGCTTTGACTGTCCTTGCTGTCAGCACACGCTCTCCGCGAGGGCCACTACAGTGCCAGTAGTGCGCAAAACGGAGGAGTCGAAGGACGGGGAAAGTGCAACGGAAGCCACACCCAGTCCAAAACCCTCGGCTATGCCAACGACAAAGAAAATGTATTATTTGTCTTGTCTGTCCTGCCGTTGGACTACCCGTGATGTGGGCATACCCGATCAGGGCGTAGCGACGGGCACTTGGCCGGACAAGGAATGCCTTTACCAGGTGCGTTTCAATACCTTGATGGAGTATTATCAGTCGCTGGTACTGCAGGAGAAGCAAGAGAAACAAGAGTTTCTGCGCCGCAAGACGCCCAAGCAGCACAAGTTTCCCAGTCTGACCGATCGCACAGGCCTCACAGTCTCACTAATACGTCGCCAGATCGGCTGGAGTGATAAAAACATACCGAAGACAAAGCCCATCAACATAGCGGCCGCTGAGGCCACTGCAGAGGTTGACGCTTTGCCAGAGGACATCTTCACGCAGCCCATAAATCTGCGTAACATCACAACGGTGGCTCAGCGGCACAGCCAGCCCGCCGAGCAGCCCGAGGCTGTGAGTAAACTCTATCCACAGCGTCGTTCGTTGTGGATCAAGCGTTCGCTGCGCTGTCGTCAGTGCGAGCACAATCTGATCAAGCCAGAGTATCATCCCACCTCCATCAAGTATCGCATACAGCTCTTTGCGAGCTACCATGTGCCGGAGGTGGTGATGGTGCGTTGTGAGCAGCCGCTGCAGCCTGGCCAGGCCAATGCGATATTCCTGAAGTTCACAAATCCCACAATGTACGATATGACTATAAGTGTATTGGATGTGGCACCGCAGGACGCTCAAATCAGCCCGGACACATTTCAGCAGGCATGCCGGATCAAAGAGGAGGCGATCACATCATCGCCGCTGCTCAAAACAACGGGCATCACTTTGGCCCGTCAGAACTCGATTAGGGAAGTGAAACGTGATGTGCGTGAATTGACGAATGCAACAATTGTGCCACTTGAAGGTCCATTTGTGCTGAACCAACGCGATGATTCCAAGGAATTCGACGAGGATGTCCAGGCGCCCAGCGAGGAGCCCAAGTTCATAGTCTGGCGCAAGGCCAACAAAGTATTAATTCGTCTCGAGTTTACTCCTGCAGCTGAGCTGCAGTCGGGCAACACTGTCACTCTGGGCTTCTACATGCAGTATACGTACGTCAACACCGTGTCCAATACGCCCGACAAGAAGGAGCCGACTACACATGCTCTCTACTCGAGGATTTTCATCGAAGCTGGCGACATAGCCAATGCAATAGCCAATTAGTCCAAAATCTTATCAACATTGAAAACGACCTCTAATCATGCTAACCACATATTATATTGAAATGTATTTATGCAACTAATTTAACGGAAAAACTGTGTTAACCCAGGCATCTCCTGCATCCACTCGTAGTATGCTAAATAAACGCCTATGCTCTAATTTAAATCACCTTTGGCGCACCTGTCCATTTTATGCTCTCCTGCCACAAGAACTCCGCAACTTTCTCGTCTTGGGCAACTTTCGCCACATCCTTTGGCTTGCAGTCGCTGAAGTATTGCCCAGTGACGCCATCCAAGTCGGGATCTATAGCTGCATAGATTGTGGTTTGAGCTCCATTCTTGGGAGTCTTCAGGAATAGCCAAAATAGCGGCTTGATCGTCTTAAAACTGTAAGATATACATAGTTAGGTATAATATTATATAAACTATGTAAGTATGCAATTTAATTTTTTAATTACCTTAGGTAGCGATTTTTTCCAATATTATTTTTTTTCAATATGTCCGTATCCACTACGCCGGGATGCAAGGCATTGACGGTCACGCCTGTGCCGGCCAGGCGCTTGGCCAACTCTCGAGTAAACATGACGTTCGCCAATTTACTTTGATTGTATGATGCACGTCCGTCGTAGGATTTCTCGAGATTTAAGTCGTCCACGTTAATTTGGCCCATTTTTTTTGCCAAACTGGAGACATTTACAATGCGACTTGGCGCTGATTTCTATAAGATAAATTTTTTTATAATATAATATATAATCATATTAAGTGTCGTATACTCTTACCCTCAGCAAATCGAGCAATAGAATTGTCAGCAGAAAGTGACCCATATGATTGACGCCCAGCTGCATCTCGAAGCCATCCTGTGTGAGACGACGGGTTGCAGAGTAGGCGCCCGCATTGTTGATGAGAATATGCAGTTGATTCTGCTCGGCCTTGAAGCTAATATTACACAATAATACTTAATAATTACAGTTTTTTTTTTTTTAAGTTTCGCTGCTCCACTTACTCTGCCACAAATTTGCGCACTGATGCGAGCGAGCTTAGGTCGAGTTGAAGGAAGAATACGTTTTGGTTATTCGTCTCCTTGATGATTTGCTTACGCGACTCCTCTGCTCGATGCTTATCCCGGCAGGCCATGTAGACCGTTGCCCCACGGCGTGTTTTTTTCAAGGCAGTCTCCTTGCCAATGCCTGCATTTGCGCCGGTTATAATTACGACTTTGCCCGTTTCATCAGTTTCCTTTGTGAATTGGCCGCCCTGCATGTACTGTCTAAGATAATATAAATATCAGATATAGTTAATATGCAATCTATAGCCAATTTACCTGATAATGTAACCTGCAATTTTTTTGACTGTTGGCCATATTATGAACGGACTGAGTAGGCAATCGATGAATATACACATTTTTTTACCTTGAAGGTCTTCACTGGGCTAAGTCCAAACATTAACTAACTCCGAACTGCTTTAATTTCGACATAAGTACGAGCCCAGTCGATAACGTTCGCAATCAGTGCACAGTGGTTGCGCTTATATGAAAACTACTTCCCGTAAAGCTAGAGAGCTGAAATTTGTTTCTGGGTATTAGAGATGTATTTGGATGGCAAAAAGTAAGTATAGGGAAAAAATGTACAAAATAACACGTGCAAAGCAAATAAAAATTAGTAAAGTAAAAAACATGTAAGACCGCTCTCGAGTAGGAGTTACCCTGAACCCCAGGACGCAACCACTGTGCGCTGTTCAGTGAACAAATAATAGAAATAGATAAGTATGAGATAACGAATAGCTCTTACACACACATATACACATATGTATATATTACATTCCTATATGAAACATTTATTTATATCTAAAAATGTACAATATCTTCTAATCTAATTTCCTGGTGTAGGTCACTCTCACGCTTTCTTCCCAGAGCTGCTTGGCGGTCTGGTTATCCATAGCAGCGGGTGCTACCTTCTTCTCTTTGCAATCGCTAAAGTAGACGCCAGACACTTTTTCCAAATCTGGATCGAGTGCTGCATATAGTGTGGTCTGAGCTCCGCTCTTCGGTGTCTTCAGAAGTGGCCACAATAAAGTTCTGAGCACAATGCGTCCAAATGTGCCGTTCAGTATCTTCATGTGCCTGCCCAGCTCAGTGTCCACAACGCCCGGATGCAGAGCATTCACGGTCACTCCAGTGCCCTCGAGGCGTTTGGCCAATTCACGTGTAAACAAAACGTTGGCCAGTTTACTCTGGCTGTAGGCAGCGCCCGGATCATAGTACTTCTCGCTGTTCAAGTCGTTGAAATCAATAAAGCCACGCGTGTGGGCCAAGCTGGAAACGTTGATAATACGGCTGGGTGCACTTTTCTGTGACAAATCAAGTTGCAAATCAATAAATTGAAGCCCCTCAATTAAATATAAACTAGTTTACCTTTAGCAAATCGAGCAGCAAGTTGGTTAGCAGAAAGTGGCCCAAGTGATTCACTCCCAGCTGCATTTCGAAGCCATCCCTGGTTACCATGTAGGGGCAGCGCATAACACCCGCATTGTTAATGAGTATGTGCAGCTTGTCTTGCTCCTTTTTGAACCTGATAAAAACACAAGTTTAAAATCAAATTATTCATTACAAATTCAGTAAATGCTTACTCAGCCGCAAATCTGCGAACGGACTGCAGGGATGCCAGGTCGAGTTCACGGAAGAATATATTCTCGTTCTTGGTTTCTTCTATAATTTCGAGACGTGCCTTCTCTGTTTTAGTCTTATCCCTGCAAGCCATATAAACAGTGGCGCCACGTCTGGCCAGCTCCAGGACAGTCTCCTTGCCAATGCCAGTATTAGCGCCAGTTACAATCACAACTTTGCCGGTTTCATTGGTCTGCTTGGTGAACTGCCCGCCTTGCATGTACTTTCTGGAAAACAAAGAGAACAATTTGTTATTAATGATGTACATATACGAAGTGTTTACATATATATTATCAATTAGCACTGACTATACCTAAGAAAATAAATACCAAGGCCAAAGAGTGCGGGCCAGGCGATGCAGAGGCACGAAACAGAATCATTTAGAGACCACATAATTGTTTAAACAAATTATTAACTACTCGTCGCAGAGGCAGTCCGAACACAACTGATGCGAATGCTACTGCGTATAACGAATGTGAGTCAACGATTTCGCCTGATAAACCGATGACAAGCACATCGCCAACTAGATGCGAGAAATGTGAGCTCAAGCATACAATAATGTTGAAATCGATCGATATACAAATTTATTATGTACACTTAGAATGAAATAATAAGACAGAAATTATACTACATTCTCTAAAGGGTAACTGCATTTCATTCAGTCTTGACATCCAGTATCTCTGCACGTGTCCACTTCTCACTAACGGCCCAGAGCCATTTGGCGACTTGAACATCGGTTGCTGCGGGCGCCGGCTCTTGAATCTTGCAGTCGGAGAAATATGCACCGCTTACGTTTTCCAAGTCCGGATCGAGAGCAGCATATAAAGTAGTTTGTGCCCCGTTGCGTACAGTTTTCACAAATGGCCAAAACAGGGGGCGAACAAATAAGCTGCAATTTAAATCGGTTATCGAGATGAGGATCCAACTTTAACAGTTTCAATCCATCTATATATACCCTGCAAAGAAGTTGCTAAAGAAGCCCATGTGTCTGAAGATATCGGTGTCCACTATGCCAGGGTGCAAAGCGTTCGCCGTGACTCCAGTTCCCTCTAAGCGGCGGGCCAATTCCTTTGTAAACAAAACGTTCGCTAACTTGCTCTGATTGTAAGCCTTAGCCTCATCATAGGACTTTTCACTATTCACATCCGTCATGTTGATTTCACCGCGCGTGTGCGCCAGACTAGAGACATTTATAATGCGGCTGGGGGCCGATTTCTACAAGATAGGTGAATGTAACAACCAGTAGAACATATCCGCGTAAATTCTTATACCTTGAGGATGTCTAGCATTAAGTTGGTCAGCAGAAAGTGACCCAAGTGATTGACACCCAGCTGCATCTCAAAGCCATCAGCGGTCAGCGTGCGCGGACAACGCATGACGCCTGCATTATTGATGAGTATGTGGAGCTTCTCCTGCTCCCGCTTGAAACTGCAAGAAATCGACATTTGCTTAGCGAATGCTCGAATTCAACAGGTCAACAACAGATGGGACCTACGTGGACACAAAGTTACGTATGGAATCCATGGAAGCTAAATCACATTGACGGCAATACACATATTTGTTTTTCGTCTCTAGGACAATCTCCTCTCGTGCTTCTTCGCACTTTTTCATATCCCGACAGGCCATATAGACTGTGGCTCCCCTCCGTGCCAGCTCCCGCACAGTTTCCTTGCCGATGCCCGTGTTGGAGCCGGTCACTATAACGACTTTGTTGCTTTCATCGGTTTCTTTTGTGAAATTGGTGCCTTGCATAAGATCCCTTCAGGTGGCAAATATTTTTGGTAGTTTATATCATATTATGACTTAAACGAATGGCAACATACTTTACAAAACAAGCGCCACCCACAGTGGTTCCAGCGACGCTCAGCCAGAAAACTGGGCGACTCTTCAGAAATGAAAAAATCGACATTTTATACGCGGCTATAATAAATAAACACGGGTGTGAACAATTCTACGCGCTATTGTGCATGGATGTGTGTTCTCGATGTCCATGGGTGTACCGGCGTTAAAATACCCTGGGACGAACGAGAAGCGCGACAAAGAGCTGTTTGTTTGCCATGTTCATCGCGAAATCAAGCAATTACTCTCTTCAAATATTCTTAATAAACATTGTTGTTTAAAAAACTAACATCTTTGTAATGAGATAACGTGTTGAGCGTATTGAAAAGATCAGTTTAAATATGCATGCTCTTTGTGTTTAAGTCTAGGGTATTAGGCCCAGGGTTGCTACTTATTCGACTTTATAAATTCAAATTTTAATAATTATACTTACTTAATAAATGACACTATCAGAGTTATACCCACGAACCAAGCCACACACGAACAAAAAATATTGCCAAGAATTTTAATCATCTTCAGAAATTTGTTTGGGGACTTTTAAGCGCAAATTAAAAACAATCTCTTCCTCTTTGTTTAAATTAAAATAAAAGAACAGGGCGTTTCAAGTGCACACAAATTTGTCAGCCAGAGACGTGGGTTTGTTGTGTTTATTCAATAACAAAATTTTACGTAAATAAAGTAAACGTTTGCTGGCAGCACTGTTCACGAATATACAATATTGTCTGCTATTTGAGAGTTGAGTGACAGTACAGTCAGTGCCAACGGAGACGCACTCAGTAATAAACAATAAATCCAAAATATAATGCGTCGAAATGTGTAAGTCAACGCCAACTCGACTCGATTCGAGTCGATGTCTGCTGCTTATGAGAATCAACGCATGTTTCATATTCCATATTCCGTATTTCAGGCGTCAGCAACAGTATAACTGGGAGAATGCGAAGTCAGACGCTATGGATGATATATATGCCGCGCCCGCTATCGACGATGCATTTATGGAAATGGTGCAGTTTGCACACGGATCTGGTAACGGCCACACAAAGATGCCGCGCTCAGAGAACACATTGGAGGTAAAAGTTCAGGAGGGAGACACATTGCAAGCATTGGCGCTGCGCTTTCACTGCTCTGTGGCGGACATCAAGCGCTTGAACAAGATTGATCGGGACAATGAGATACACGCACATCGAATTATTCGGATTCCAGTTACAGTGCACAACGTACTGCTTGGGGCAAGTAATGCGGATGCACTGCCTGCCGTTCATCGTAGCGGGAACAATAGTCCCAGGCACAATCTTGACCAAGAACCGGCCATTGAGCGCAATCCACTGGAGGATGCACGCATGATGCTGGATGAACGCCTTTTGGTGGCTGCTGTGAATGCTTCTGGTACTGTAGCTGGCGAAGTTCCAGCATCAGTTCGAAGGGATGGCAGTAAATTCTATGATGCCAGATCGGGCTATCCAGATGATGAGGGTGAGTCTATTATTAATTTTTTGTGATAAGGTGGCTGGCATTTAGTTATCATATATTTAAAAATTCCAATGTAAATGCGTTTAACAGCTCTTAGAGCTGGCCAACCAAGCAAAGTAATTTTGCATTTGAGTCGCCCTGTATATATGTTAAGTCTTCTGTTAAGTAAGCAGTGAAGTTGGGCGCAGGCAGCAATTTGTTTAGTCATTGGAAATACGGCCACACTCGCCATTAAAAATTGCCAGAAAACAGAAGCGTTGGCGACGAAAAACATATAAATTTATTAAATATTTCGCTGTTGAACAACTAAAACAAAATGCCGGACTATCTAGGAGATGATCAGCGTAAAGTTAAGCATGACGAGAATAAGGAGGATAAGGAAATTAAGTCGCTAGACGAAGGCGACATCGAACTACTTAAGACGTACGGGCAGAGCCAGTATCACAAGTCCATAAAGAACATCGAAGAGGACATACAAAAAGCCGTGAAACAAGTGAACGAGCTAACTGGCATTAAGGAGAGCGATACAGGCTTGGCTCCTCCTGCTCTGTGGGACTTGGCTGCCGACAAGCAAATACTCCAAAATGAGCAGCCTTTGCAGGTTGCGCGTTGCACAAAGATTATCAACGCTGACTCAGATGATCCCAAGTACATTATTAATGTGAAGCAGTTTGCCAAGTTTGTGGTAGATCTGGCTGATTCCGTTGCACCTACGGACATTGAGGAGGGCATGCGTGTTGGCGTTGATCGCAACAAGTATCAGATTCACATACCGCTGCCACCCAAAATCGATCCCACGGTGACGATGATGCAGGTCGAGGACAAGCCAGATGTTACCTACAGCGACGTCGGTGGCTGCAAGGAGCAGATTGAGAAATTGCGCGAAGTTGTGGAGACACCGCTGCTGCATCCTGAGAAGTTCGTCAATCTCGGCATCGAGCCCCCCAAGGGTGTGCTCTTGTTCGGTCCACCTGGTACGGGCAAAACTCTATGTGCCCGTGCTGTGGCTAATCGCACAGATGCTTGCTTCATTCGCGTCATCGGCTCCGAGCTTGTGCAGAAGTATGTGGGCGAGGGCGCACGTATGGTGCGCGAATTGTTCGAAATGGCCCGTTCCAAGAAAGCTTGCTTGATCTTCTTCGATGAAATCGATGCCATTGGCGGAGCACGTTTCGATGACGGTGCTGGCGGCGACAACGAGGTGCAGCGTACTATGCTGGAGCTAATCAATCAGTTGGATGGCTTCGATCCGCGTGGCAACATTAAGGTTCTGATGGCCACCAATCGACCCGACACACTTGATCCTGCGCTTATGCGTCCCGGCCGTTTGGATCGTAAGGTGGAATTTGGATTGCCCGACCAGGATGGCCGTTCACACATCTTTAAGATCCACGCCCGCTCAATGTCCGTGGAACGCGACATTCGTTTCGATCTGCTGGCACGTCTGTGCCCCAACTCGACAGGCGCGGAGATTCGCTCTGTGTGCACTGAGGCGGGCATGTTTGCCATTCGTGCCCGCCGCAAGGTGGCCACCGAAAAGGATTTCCTCGAAGCTGTCAACAAGGTTATCAAGAGCTACGCCAAGTTCAGCGCCACCCCACGCTATATGACCTACAATTAAGTTTACGTTTTATACATCCTCAATTCTCTTTCGTTTGCTGCGCTGTGAGCCTTTAAGTCTGCAACTGTAACTGCTCCAGCTGGGCAATCAGTAAATAAAAGATCCAAAATATATAGTATACACCATTATTCCGGGGGCTTTGATTGCCTTTCTTTCATTGATGCGTTTATCTGTGTAATTTTGCATTTCACTTTTGTCTACACGCAGCCAACGTGGATAAACCTTTGGACGACAGCACGGCTCTGCTGGATGATATGCTGGTGGACAGGCATGCGCCCATTGTTCGTCCCATTCCTGGTCCGTCGTTGCGGGCGATTGACTGGTCTGGCTCTGACTGTGACATGTCCTGGATATGCCTCTTGATATTTATACTCGCACTCTGTTTTGTCATCCCGTTGGTCTATGTCATATACCTGGCGGAGCATCCACATCACAATCACACCTCATAGCCGAAATGAGTGAACATCCACTCGTTCCATTCCAAGTGTGCTACGATTTGAACTCTTCCCCCTCCCTCTTACACTTCTTTGCTCCGAGACGAATGCATTTCAAATGCAGCAGCTGCGAGCCATAGAATTTATTTTTCTAAAAATATTTAATTCATAGAAATAAAGTACCAATTGTGACTTGTACAATATCTACAAAATAATATAGACTTGAATTGATAGCCAAATCTCAACTGATGACTATTTAAGTGTGGTAAAACAATAATTAAGTTTTTCTTTATTGGTACATAACACTAGTATGTATAACAGTTTATTGGTACATGACACTCTATGTATAACGGTTAAATATATTAGGTCGATCGATATCGATATCGATATACGGGTCATTTTAAATGGGGTTTTTGCGTAGCTTAAAGCAAATATATATTAAATATTTAATTAATAGTATCCATGGATATAATAAGTAATTATGTTTAGCTATAATAAATACAAATTAAAATCAAACTATTCGCGCACACTGGGCGTACAATATAGTTTTAAGTACTGTCTTGAATACTTGATATAATATTCTCCTCTGTGGCCATGGCACATGATTATCGATATTTGGTGTTCGTTTTGGTATGCGGGATGCTGTGCGCCATTATTGTGCATATTCCTTGACTCACGGCGGAATATCATCCAATGGCGTTTGTACAGCGTAAATTCAATTAAACTCAATATTCACTTAAACTTTAAGTTCTCAAAGAAAGCAATATTGCTGCGAAGGAATCCTCGACGGACGGGCACAGGACTCGCTGGCGAGGCAATGGGTATGGCTGATGGTAGCCCATCCGAGTGCATTGAAGGATCGCTGTCAGTGTTGGCAAACGTTAAAAATAATGTCTAATCACATATGCAGAGCTACCTACGTTTCCAGGGACGATAAGTCGGAGGCTATAGTGGATTCATCGGCCACCTCGGCCATGGAGACGGTGTGCTGCAGCATTTGCCTGCGCGACTGTGGCGTGCCGGGCTTCTCAGGTGTAACAGGTGTATCAGGTGCTGATTTCATTAGCCTGGCCTGATGCTGCAATGTCTGAAATACAAACTATGAGTGAACTGTACAATTGGATATATTTAATGCCATTTACCTTGGCACGCCAACGTCTCTCGGGCTGCGTGCGTTTGCTGGTGAGTAGGAAGGCTTGTGCTAGAGCCTTGACCGAGGGCAAGGCATGCACCACATCATCCTCAACAGCGGGTTTCTCTGAGGGCGAGGCTTTTACCTCGGGCTGGGAAAAGAAGTCAAATTCGTATGATTCGTCCGACTGGCAGCTGCTTGACTCACCATTTCATCATCGTCTATGGACAGCACTTGACTTGGCTCAATGAGCCGTCGCTTCGGCTGCAGGAAACGAAAAGCTGGCGGCGTGGAGCCGCGCGTCGGTGTCACCGTGGGCGAGCAGCACACATTGGGCGTGCTGTCCGCAGGCCCAAATTGCAGCACTACGGGTCGTTCACGCTTACGTGATGCATCTATGGAGTTGCTATTGCTGTTGCTGTTGCTGTTGGCGTCGACGTCGGCGGCGGCGGAGGAGGAGGAGGTGTTGGTAGTGGCTGCTCCGCCCAATGCAGACTCCATAGATGACGTAGTTGTGGACGTGCTCGTCTTAATGACTGTCGTCTCCTGCTTATTGAAATCGTAAACACGCACGGTATCCGAATCATCGCTAGTCGTCAGCACTGACTGATTCGATTGACTATCCAGGCTGCCCGCCTCCAGCACCTGGGCGGGCACAGCTGTATAGATACTTTTGTTGTCGCTGGACGTATCGGGGACTGTATCCTCCTGTTCCTGCTGCAGTCGCTCCTGTGGCTGCTCGCCTGTCTTTTGGCTTGTTTTGTGAGCCTTTTTTAAGGAAAACATTGATTTTTTTTTCTTGGTTTTGGTTTTGGGTTTTCGTGTTCATTTGTTGTGTTGTATTGTTTAGGTACATTTGGTAGATTTGGTACAATATTGTATGCATGTTGGTTAGTTTTTGAAAAAAAGAATTTGTTTAGGTACAATAAAATATTGGAAGCACAGCTGAATGTTAGCTTGGCAGATCGATATATATATGGACATATATACATGTACATGTGATGCATATGTGTGGGTGTGTTGGTGTGTGTGATTGATTGATGCATAAGCAGCAGCAACAGCATGCATACAAAATTCAAATACAGCTACAAAAACATTAAAAATTTCTATTGATGCGAGTTATATTTATTTATATATAGCAGAAAGTGAAACAAATGCTGTTAGTAAAATGCCACACACACACACACACAATAATAATTAAATTAAATCAAGCTTCACTTTCATCGATTGGCTTTGTACTCACCCCGCAATTTGTAATCAGCCCTTTTACTAAAAACATTTGTTTCATTTTTTTTTACTTTTATTATTTGTGTTTGTTTAACTTTTGGCTTTATTTTGTATTTCTATTGTTTGTTGGTTTTTAATATATATATATGTATATGTATAAAAAGAAGTTAGCAGTAAAATGAATAAACTAGGTGTGCATACAAGAGTTATTTTTTAATAATTTTTAAAAATTAACAGCAACAAAATCAGAATTAAAATAATAAAAAAAGAACATTCAAAGAAAAAAGTGCTGCATATTTTAGGGCGCATTAGCATTAGGCAATTAGCTATTACAATTATTTGTTGTTGTTTAATATATTTATATATATTATATTGTAGATTAGATAGAACTCAGTTCTCGATAGTAATGTGAATGCAAAAATTTGTTTGTGCTGCAGTTCATTAATTTTTTTTTTTTTTTGGGGTAGGGGAAATTTGGAATGTACAATTGAATTGGGGAGCAGATGGCACGGTCTGCCTTAAAGCCTAAAACGTGCTGGAGATTCTCTAAATCATGTGAAAAAGTGCCTGGTTGTGGGGGTGTGTACGTATGTGTGTGTGTGCGTGTTGCCTTTACTGACTAGTGTTTAAAACTTGGTTGACTAACATATGATTTTGGCAGAGACTAACAGCTAACTATCCACTCTCTCTGTATGTATATATATAGATATGTATCCCGAACTATAGACCCATGACACCCACCCGATTGGAAAAGGAGCTTTGAGCTAGAAGAGTAAACTATTATTACTGAACCCATTTAAACAACTATCTACGCCTGAGTCCTGATCGTCTAGGCTAGCTGGCTTTGTGTGCTGATCGCTCTCGAATAGGGGATTCATGACGAAATCCTTGGATGTGGCACTGACAGCACGAAAACTATTGCGCTTGAGGTCTTTGTGTAGCAGCTGCTTCTCGAACTGTGTGAGCACAGCCGCCGAAGGACCACCCGCCGAATGCCGCTTGGAGACGGACGAACCGAAGGATCGGCCACTGCCGTTGCTGTGCAGGCTCAGCGTCGACTGCGTATGCCGCTTGGGCAGATGCTGCCTATGCCAGGAGTGCTGCGAACGTACGTCAAAGTCATCGTCCGGTTCGTTGCCCAAGCCGGAGTCGCGATAATGCGATGCGGACGTCGAGGGGCGTTCGTAACCGTTGCCTAAGGTCAGAAATGGGGGAGTGGGGCAAGTAGGTTTGTTAATGAACTTTAGCGAGCTGCTGCGACGCACTGGCTTCGACAGCGTCCAATGTGAGAGGTCAGCGAGGTTTGAGCTTTGAGCGCTACTTGAAATGCCATGGTTGCCATGCGTTGGAATTACCTCATTGATGACAATGTCCTCATCCGTTGGCTCCGTGCTCCTGTTGCTGCTGCTGCTGCAGGCCAAGGAGGTGCCACGAGTGGGCGTGGTCGCCAATGGAGCATTGTTAATATAGTAATCGCGACTGTATCTGTGGAATGGAACGGCAAGCTTAGATTAGACTCTCAATTTCAAGTGGAGTCGAGTCGAGTCGAGTTACCGCTTGTAATCCTCCTTGGCTGGTTCCTGCTCCGTGCTGGATGCCGCATTTGTCATCAGTGCCAGAGCCTTCTTCTCGGTACTGGGACTTATATTGGGCACATCCATGAAGCGTTCCTGTGTACCGCTAATGCGTTGCTTCAAAGCCTCCGGTGCATACGGATTGTTGGGCATCTCAACGGCATTATACCATTTCTTTACCTCACGTTCCGCGATGGAGCCTGCAAATGTGTGGAGAATAGTTTAAGTGACTATAATTAAGACAGACTTAGGCAACAATTTAGCTAGTCTAGTAAATAAAGTATAAAGTGAGAAAGACAGAGATTGATATATGTATATAGAGAGAGCGTAAAAACGTAAACACAAGTAAGCTATGTAAATTAGGAGACAACAACAAACACCGAGTGATGGCTGTGTGCGTGTTACCTGGGGCAAAGCGCCGCAACATTACAATATCATCATCATTATTATTATTAACATCATCATCGTCATCACCATCATCGATAACAACTTCATTATTATTATGATCATCGGCATTTAGTTGATTTGTTTTGCTTTGACGTGACCATCTCAGTGAACCATTTGTTAGTTTACCATTTGGACGTGTTTTGGTATTTTTGTTAGTATTTTGTGTTTTAGTATTTTGGTTAGTATATGTTGCTGTTGTACTAGAGACTGCCTCATCCAATATTTCATCGGGACAACTATCATTATTGGGAGCCAATAGCTCAGCGTCGCCATTAAAGGTCTCATGCGAGGTGGACGGCGAGCTCTCATTGCTGTGCTCTGACCGAGAGCCGGAGCTCAATTGATCTGAGAATAGAATGTGGTTAATAAAGTTAAAGCCAATCTCTCTTAGGCTAACAACAATGAAGTAGTTCTCATCATTATTATCAATAGTATCTAATGATGTTTGGCTGGCAATGTCTGAAGCTACATCAAAATCTGGAAGAATCTCTATCATATTGGTAGGATTATTTATCTCTAAATGATATTCTGGTTCTTCGATCTGATCATGACTGAAATTATCTACAGCTACTCGAAAGTTATCATCTAACTCAGCTATACTTTTTTTCTTATTATCTATGCCTAAATGACTTTCTGGCTCTTGATTTATATCTAAGCTAATGGGCTCATTGGCTGCTGAATTGAGTTCATCAAACAGACTCGCATGTGCTTCATATTCTATATCATCTGGCGGCTCATCGAAACTATCAAAGGAACTCAGGTATTTGTGCATAATTAAGGCGCGTTGACGTCTTCGTTCGATTGTGGCTAACAGTCGTTTGTCTTTAATGTAAATCTTGCAAATGGTTCCGAAGATGTTCACAGGACGCACAGGACTTGCAGTTGAGCCCTCATCGCTCGGTGTTGTCTCTGCCCGGATTTTCGGCTGCCTTTGCAGATGTTTCTCAGACATTTTCACTAGAGCACTATTTTTGCTCTTACAAGATTCACTTGGCAAAAGATCTGGTAGTACTTCATCAGTCTGTATTATCAATTTATCTGTTTCAATTGTTGAATTTGGTTCTTCGCATGCAACTTCCTCTTTTTCCTCTTGTACTTTCGCGTCTGAAGAAGTCTTCGCCTCTGTTGTAATGCCAGTACTAGGAACCTCTTCAAGTGCTGATGCTGGAGTTTCCTCGGATGCAGTCAGAGAAGCTGCAATATCCTCAATTGTCACTGCCGAATTTTGGTCTGAGACAGACTGTGATTCCTCAAGTGCTGGCGTTGGGGCTTCCTCTGATGCAGGTGTTTTAGTACTGCTAATCTCTTCTTGTGTTGCTGCTGTAGATTCTTCTGATACAAYCTGGGTCTCTGTTGCGGTAATTTCCTCCTGAGCTACAGTTTCCACAGGATCAGCACCAACAACCTCCTCAACTGCTGGTGCTGGGGTTTCCTCTGATGCAGGCAGTGATTTAGTACTGCTAATCTCATCTTGTGCAGCTGCTGTAGATTCTTCTGATACAACCTGGGCATCTGTTGCGGTAATTTCCTCCTGCGCTACAGTTTCCACAGGTTCAGCATCAACAACCTCCTTAAGTGCTGGTACTGGACTTTCCTCGGATGCACTTAGAGACGCTGCAATATCCTCAATTGTCACTGCCGGATTTTGCTCTGAGGCAGACTGTGACTCGACACCAACAACCTCCTCAAGTGCTGGTGCCGAGGTTTCCTCCGATGCAGGCAGTGATTTAGTACTGCTAAGCTCTTCTTGTGTTGCTGCTGTAGATTCTTTTGATACAACCTGGGTGTCTGTTGCGGTAATTTCCTCCTGAGCTACAGTTTCCACAGGATCAGCACCAACAACCTCCTCAAGTGCTGGGTCTGGACTTTCATCGGTTGCGTTCAGAGACGCTGCAACCTCCTCAATTGCCACTGCCGGACTTTCCCCTGACACAGACTGTGACTCGGCACCAACAACCTCCTCAAGTGCTGGTTCCGAGGTTTCCTCTGATGCAAGCATGGTTTTAGTACTGATAATCTCTTCTTGTGTTGCTGTTGTAGATTCCTCCGACACAACCTGAGGCTCTGTTGCGATAATTTCTGCGGCTTTAACTTCCTCTGGTGCTATAGCTATTTCTGCTGGAGAAACCTGCTCTGGAACACTAGTGTCTTCTGCTGACATAGTTTCCTCTGGAGCTGTAGTTACTTCAGGTGCAATAACTTCCTCTGGAACTCTAGTGACTTCTGCTGGAGTAATTTCCTCTGGATTTAAGGAAGCGTCGGCTTGACTAACTGCAGCTACTGTTACTTCTGCTGAAGTAACTTCCTCTTGAATTGAAGTATTTTCTGCTGAAGAGACCTCCTCTGGAACTGAGCTGATTTCTGCTTCCTCTGGAGCTGTAGTTACTTTAGGTGGAGTAACTTCCTCTGCTACTTCTGCTGGAGTAATTTTCTCTGGAGCTGTCGTTACTTCAGGTGAAGTAACTTCCTCTGGAGCTGTAGTTACTTCCGCTGGAGTAGTTTCTTCTGGAACTGTAGTGACTTCTGATGGAATAGTTTCATTTGAAGCTGTAGTTACTTCAGCTGGAGTAGTTTTCTGTGGAAGTGCAGTGATTTGTTCTGGAGCTGAAGTTACTTCTGTTGGAATAGTTTGCTCTGAAGCTGTAGTGACTTCTGCTGGAGTAATTACCTCTGGAGGTATAGTTACTTCAGCGGCAGGAATTTCCTCTGAAACTATTGTTACTTCAGCTGTAGTAATTTCCTCTAGAGCTGAAGTTACTTCTACTGGAGTAGATTCCTCTGGAGCTGTAGTGACTTCTGATTGAGTAACTTCTTCTGAAACTGTTGTTACTTCACCTGGAGTAATTTCTCCTGGAACTGTAGTTATTTCCGCTGCAGTACTGTCTTCTTCGTCTGCTTGACTAACTGCAACTACTGTTACTTCTGCTGGACTAACTTCTTCTTGAATGAAAGTATTTTCTGCTGGAATAGTTTTCTCTAAAGCTGTAGTTACTTCTGGATCTGTAGTTACTTCCGCTGGAGTAGTTTCCTCTGGAACTGTAGTGTCTTCTGCTGAAATAGTTTCCGCTGGAGCTGTAGTTACTTCAGGTGGAGTAACTTCCTCTGGAACTGTTGCTACTTCAGCTGGACTAATTTCCTCTGGAACTGTAGTTACTTCTGCTGGAGTAACTTCCTCTGAAACTATTGTTACTTCAGCTGGAGTAGTTTCCTCTGGAGCTGAAGTTATTTCTTCTGAATAAAATTCCGCTGGAGCTGTAGTTACTTCAGGTGTAGTAACTTCCTCTGGAACTCTTGCTACTTCAGCTGGACTAATTTCCTCTGGAACTATAGTTACTTCTGCAGGAGTAGTTTCCTCTGGAACTCTAGTGACTTCTGCTGTAGTAATTACCTCTGGAGGTATAGTTACTTCAGCTGCAG